TTACAAGTAATTAATGAGTAGCTCCAAGTCCCTCACGAAACATAATGATGTTAAAATTGGATATCATGCCTCATTTGTTAAAGTGTATCATATTAATTGGTTATGTAAAAGATTACCTATAACGTGGAGACTTCCTTCCATTTGATTGCCTGCTAGATTTAACACTTTTAAGGATGAAAGACTACAATCTCCACCTTGGATGCTTCATTGTTGATAGTTATGAATTCATATTTATATAGCTTACGTTATATTAACTATAATAAAAATTCATTTCAGTTTCTTTTGCACATTTTCCCTGGTTTTTGATATGATGGATGGTTGAGGTTTGAGTTTGATATATTTGGGAAGATTTTTGGACCTTCGTGTGACTGATTTTCTGCAGATTTTCCTTGAAATTGAAGTAGTGCTCAAGAACCCTATATTCCCCAATTTGAGATTGCAATTGATATGTTTTTACCCATTTCAGTGAATGGATTTTGTTTATGGGTTGGCTTAACCCAACCTAGGAATTATGGACCAAAATCAAAAAGAAAAGAATCTTGATTAAACTAATAAATATAGATATAATCAGATTTAATTTGGTATAAAAAATAAAAATTAATTTGCTCTTATAATTTTAATTAAAATAATTAATTGATTTGATTGTCTTTATTAGAATATTTAGATTTATCTAATCATTCTAATTCTAATTAAAGGTTAACTAATTTGATTAATTCCTAATCAACCAAGATTAATTATGCTAAATTTTAGTGGCCACGGTAAAAAATAAAAGAAATCATTTTTATTTTAATGTTAATTTTGTCCAAAACCTTTTGAAATCAAGAAATTTAGTTTAGAAATTTTATCTATTCAAATCAGTCCTTCATGTTTTCAATTTAATCCAATCACTCCCCCCACTCTTAAATTTTCTTTCAATTGTGCATGCATGTTCTCTCTTATTTTGTTTAGATTGAGTCAAAGGGTTTTCAAGCATTGCAATTTCATCAATTTACTTTTAAATCTACTTAACTAGAACCGAAAACAATAAAAGATTGAATAAATTCCTTAATGTTAAAATATGCAACCGTGTTTTATGTAGAGGATTGTAAGATGTGTGTATCCCTTTCACTTCTAACCATACTCTCGGACTTCAATCCCTGCGTTGATCATATTTTAGGTGATTTGTCCCATGTTATAATTTGGATAAATGATGACTCTTTTCTTCACTTTTCACACTTTAAATTTTCATTATATTTTCTTATATAATTTGAAAATTTTTAAGTGGTCATCAGTAACAATAATGGTCATTTTTTATTTAAAATTTATCTCAAATTAATTATTATTGAAACCACCCAAGTCGAAACCCACCACTAGCAAATTTCTAATTACTCTTTATAGTTAATTATACATATATTTCTCGATGTCATAAGTAAAATCATTTACTCTTTTCATTCCACAATAATATTTTTTCATTTTTCACACTTAAATTTTCATTATATTTTCTTATATAATTTTCAAAATTTTAAGTGGTCATCAACAACAATAATAGTTATTTTTTATTTATTATCATTGAAACCACCAACGTCGAAACCCACCTCTAGCAAATTTCTAATTACTCTCTATAGTTAATTATACATATATTTCTTGATGTCTTAAATAAAATCATTTACTCTTCTCATTCCACCACAATAGATTCACACTCATACCTCCATCCTGATGTAAAATTAAAGGCCTACTAGCCCACTAGACTACAAGCATAAGATTCACATCAATTGATGTGCGGTTCATATTATCACTAATCATGATGATTAGCATGAGCCTACACTTATGAGAAATAACCGCGCTAATACTAATTGAAACAACTCAAATTAAAATTTGCCACTATCCTAATAACTTTTTGAATCAAAATCCACAAATTTTTCAAAAACCTCAAGTTCAAGTTGTTAGTAGTTGTTGGTCACAGTAATTATATACCATTTACACTCACAATTTTATCTCGATGTAGGATTTGAGGCGTCAAGGTTATTTTGGAAACAATTTTTTTTCTTACTTTAACCCCATTGTTATTCAATTACTTTATTTATGCACCCTATCAAGAAAAAGTGTCTTTTTCTTTATTTATTTTTTTAAGAATAATATAAATAAAAAGATAATTATCTCTAAATTCTTAATTTAAAAAAGAAAGTCAAAAAAATAGCAAGTAGTATAAGTTTAGCGTTATTTTTGTTTATAATTTCTTGGCTTTGTTATTAATGAATCTTAATCATCAGTTATATGATCAAATGGTAGAATTAATTTCATTTTTAACCATAAATTTAAGGTTTAGTTGTAGTTTCTAACTATAAAAACAAAAAAAACAAAAATCTTGTAAGTCTCCGTACAAAAATTCAGCCTCCCCAAATTAATATCCCAACTAGACCTGTCTTGTGGGTGTGGTTACAGCTATTTATTTTTTTAAGATTATTAAAATTATATTTAATTTGATTGATTTTTATAATTCTTTTTAAATAAATAGTTATGATGTTTATAAAAAGTAAAAATTTACTTATATTTAAGTTTTATACCTTA